CTCACAGATTTTCTCTATTCAAATAATTTTTAATGCAACTCAAGTGAAGAGGCGCCCAGTTACACGTTTTCATCCTCGTTTTATTTCCCAGTCGAATCGTTGTACGCTTGAATAGCTGTTACTATGTTGGAGGCGGCGGGAGTAAGCCAGCGTGGTCGAGTAACGTGAGAAGGACGGGGGGGCGGGGGGGGGGGCTCATTTTTATTGCTTGTTTTCTGTTACGGGTGAACGGCTTCCATTAACGCTTTAGTTAAGAATAATGGAGTTGATATCAGTCGCTTTGCATTTGTATAAATGATGTTTTCAGGTGGCAGCATGAATATAGACACACACACACACACACACACATGCCAACTCCCGCTGCTCCTAAAATACACTTGTACACACACACACACACACACTCAGATGAGACACATTGAGAAAGACGATTCGTGCCCGGTCATCCAGAAATCACAAGGACGCCTGTCGGGTTGTTTGTCCTGGTTGTTTGTCTTTGTTTGCAGACTGGCTTCGTGGTGCCCTTGGATAGTAATGACTGTTTTATGTGTGTTTTCTCCTTTTCTTGTGTTTTTGTGTGTCTCTGCTCAAACTCGCACAGCAACACTTGGAGCCATGGAAACTCTACGCAACAGTTGGAGTGCTGCTGGCCATCGACTTCCTGTCACTCATGATTTGGCAGATTGTGGATCCTCTGCACATTACGGTCGAGGTAGAGCACGAGAGACGGATGAGATAATTTGTGTGTCATCACCCATTTGCACCGAGCGTGCAGCCGCCGTCATCAGTCAGCAGCACAGTAATGAGACTCCGAGCCTCGTCTGTAGAAATGTTCCTTCATTTTGATTCATCTTACACTTACAATCTCAAACAAGGATAAATATCGTGTCACTTCACGAGGCACAGATGAGGAGCAACGCTATAACCGTGACATTTATGGCTGGAAGAGTTATATTTGTTTGTCTGCTAATGTTTGACTGAACCCTCGGCGCTGTTTACGGCACCCTGTGGCACTCGTGTAATAAACAAACATTTCCTTTAATTAAACATTCGTCAAACAGCCGAGCAAAACCTGTTAAATGAACTTCCTGCCTCGTGAAACCCTTCAGATATCCACTCAAACCTGCATCAGCCTCATTATTAACGTTCAGTTTAAACCCACGGTGCAGAGAACACAGGTTCATCAAACAATCTTTTAGCTCGTTGTGTTGTTTCTCTCTCTACAGTCGCACCTAATTATTGTAAATATCCGTATGTCACATTTATTATCTGATATATTAATATTAATTCACTCGTCTGTCTCTCCGTCTCGTGGGAAGGATCTTTTTACCCGGGGGGGATCAATGCTTACGCTTACTCTGCACGTTTTCCTCGCTCTCCAGTGTGACGCTCGTCCTCTCATCCTCTCTTCTTATCTCCCCCCCCCTCTCTCTTTTTCTCCCTCGCTCCGTCCCTCGACCTCTCTCTCCGTCTCTACGCCATGTGAGTAGAAGTTCACTAAGGAGGCCCCTAAAGAAGATCTGGATGTCCTGATTCAGCCCTTGCTGGAGCACTGCAGCTCGGAGAAGATGAACACATGGCTCGGTATCTAAAGTCTCTTCTCTTCTTTCTTTGTTTTACCCTCGTTTGTCTCAATCTGTCGCTTTTTAAACTCTTCGCCGTTCTCTGGTTTTGGATGTCTTTGTCACACACTTGGACATATGCACACACACACACACACATGTCTCCGCCATTCACTCTGAATTAAAGCACCTCCCTCATCCCCCGTCGCACCCTTACACTTGATTCTTCTTTTTTTTTGTCGGCCCACGCAGTCCCCCTCTCTCTCTCTCTCTCTCTCTCTCTCTCTCTCCTGCTGTCTTTCTTAGCGTGGCAGCTCTCATGAAAGTATAATGGTGCTGAAATTCAAATAATGTGGGTCACAAACTGGGCCACTGCCCCGTAGCATTTCCTGTCCCAGAGAAGAGAAGATGGAGCTTTAATGTGGTGCAAAGAAACAGTGGCCGGTCTGAAGGAGAGTCAGACTCACTCCGTCACACAGCTTCTCTCAGCTCTCTTATCTTTTTCTCTCAGTGTCTTTCTACACATTCAACCTTTGTGCTTGATAACAGGAACATTTTTGTTTTTTTTTATACCTGAACCCGGTCACGTGTTCTGCAATAGATTATAGCTTTGTTATCCCAAGTTAAAGATTAACTTCAGATTTCTGCATTTAATTAAAGTTTCATTCAAGCGTAACTGTGGACAAACCCCAGTTTTCTGTTTAGTGTTCGACCTGATGATGTCATTACAGGATAAAGTTATGTATCATCACAGTATCACTCTGTCACACTCTCGGGATGTAAACCTCTCTGCTACAAGAGGAAACCTCGGGGGACTGCCACAGTGGGTGAGGCTCATTGTGTGGGAGCCGTGAATGACTGCACCAGGTTTCAGGCCAACACACATAATAGTAGTCGAGATATTTGAACACACACTAATATCCTGTTTTGAACCGCTTCCATTTTCTTACTTTATGTCTTTAACGACTTCCTCGGCTGCACTACACCTGCCTCACCTCCGCCTCTCGCTCCTTCACCTTTGCTCTCTCTCTCTCTCTCTCTCTCTCTCTCTGTTTCCCCTCAGGTGTGGTTTACGGCTACAAGGGTCTGCTGCTGCTGCTCGGTATATTTCTGGCTTACGAGACCAAGTCCGTCTCCACGGAGAAGATCAACGACCACCGTGCCGTGGGGATGGCCATTTACAACGTGGCTGTGAGTGAAAAGAAGGAAACGACACCATCAGGCCCGAACTCCGCTTCCTGGGTGTTTCTGTCTGCATCCGGCTGAATAACATTAAATTAGCAATAAGTGAGCTTTTTATCGCCCCACAGCAAAGAATGACCGTCATATATCTGCGGGGGTCAATCATCGGCAGCGCCCTCGTGATTTCGGCGTCTCACAGCTGCGAAGGCGTAAAAGAGCCTCGTTCTCGAAGGGGGAACCGGTTGCACTCGCTGCCCGTCGTTTCCGAAAGTTAATGGAGTTCACAGATAACTCAACGCTCCTTTTTAATGCCTCTGCTCGGTATTTTTTTCTTATTCGAGTAGATAAACCGCCTTAAGGTTCGCTCATTTCACATCAATCCTCCGAACTCCCAACAAGAAGACGTCAGCTGAGGGCACCGCAGGAATACAAATGGAAACTTTCCCCTCTCAGAGAAACAACCTCTGGGATCCGAACATCCCAGATCGATGATCTAGTCCAGAACAGTAGGAACTCGTGCGGTGATTGGCGGGAACAACGCGAGACGCAGAAACGGGCGTGTTTATAAAATATTCAAGTTTTTTCACAAGCACGAGTTTTAATCTCGAGGTTTAATTCTTTTAAAGGCAGATCTCTGGTGATAAACCCGCCGGTGAACAGTGTATGAATCATAGATCCTGTGCTGCAGCGATAGCAACGGTCGTATCTCAGGTCTCTTTTGTAAAAATGAAAACTCGTTCTCAGCCAAAGCTTCCTGCTGGAATACATGTGAACTCAAATCAATAAAATACTCAGAGATTGCATCAGGAACTTTTTATATTTTTCTTTAGGTCTGCAGAAGCTCCCGGTCCGTCAGTGTAAACGTGGACATGTGTGCACCGTGTGGGCTGTGCAGCTTGTCTGTGTGTTGTGTGCACAGATCTTTGTCTCTGGGAATATGTTAAAAACATATCTGGGTTGCTTTGCGGCCCTCGGTCATAAACATTCCTCGGTGGCTGCTGAGGGCGAGTGAACCATCTTAAACGGAGGCACCTTGGATGCACTTTGGGCACTTTAGACAAATACTCGCTGCCACTTCCTGACGCTCTCGACACCGGGAAGCTTTGAAATTGATGTGAAACGTCTGGTGTAAAAGTGGATTCTGTCTCTTTAACTGCCGGAGGAGTTTTTCTGTTTCCATCAAAGACGAGCAAACATTTTTTTTTGTCCCTTTTCGTTTTTAAAAAAAAAAACAAACCCGTCCTCGCTGTGATCCCCATGAATAAATAAAAGCGGAGGCGTCCTAACACTTATCAACTCTTACTTTGTGGATATGTAATTAATAACTGGATTGATCTCGTCTCCTCCATCGAGGACGGACGAGATCATTGATCTATCATTCATGGGGATTTGTGACAGCTTTAAAAGTAGCTTGCAGCTCATTTCATCACACGGTTCTCTCATAACGTGAGACGAGTCCAACGTTATTAGTTCACGTTGCGATAAACTCATTTTAGTTTTATGACGGTGTCAATAGTTAATGGTGTCTGTAAAGGGACCTCCTTCCTTCCTGCTAAGCTGCGAGCTCCAGGCTCTGATGAGATGACAATGTGGTGATTGTCAGCGCGTCGCCGTCGCTTCAGTCATGACTTTTTAATGCTGTTGTCACACGGGAGCCCTCCCCGGAGTCACAAACAGAGGCCTGATGCTTTTATGGATGTGATGTTCTTCCCCTCTCCTTCTCTTCTTCATCCTCCACCTTCTCTCCTCGAACACCGCTCTCTGCCTCCTGCTTTCTCTTTATTTAAATCTCACCTTTACCTTTCTCCTGTTCCTTTGTTTGCACCTCTCTTTCTGTCTCCCCCCTCTCTCCCCCCCTCTCTCTCTCCCTGCAGGTGTTGTGCCTGATCACGGCTCCGGTGACTATGATCCTGTCTTCGCAGCAGGACGCCTCCTTTGCCTTTGCCTCTCTGGCAGTCGTCTTCTCTGCCTACATCACGCTGGTGGTGCTTTTTGTGCCCAAGGTGCTCATGACTGATTCTTTTTAAGTAACTGCTGCGCACACTGACAATTGCACTCCAAAGGTCAAACGTGCCAGTCTCAGGGTCTTCAGGAGGAGATTTTAAAAAATGTGCATGAAAATAAAAAAACATCCGGAGGTTTTCAAAGTCACCTGAACACACGCCGAGAGCTGCACCACATTGGAATTGCTGCGATATTTGATAACTTAAATATCTTTAAACGTGTTTGAATAGGTTTTTGATAGAGATAATTATATATTAATTAAACAATTGTTTTAATAAAATAGTTTGAAGTTTAATATTACTATTTGTCCGATCGATATCTCAGTCGAACAGACAACATCACTATGATAGCAGATATGAAAACTTTTATTTTACAGACTAAGCAGGAAAGATGTGCATGAAAATATGTTTTATTCTTGTATTTGTGTTTTCTTTTTATTTATAGTTATTAATAAGAAAGAGTTTATGGTTAAACTATTAAACATCAATCCTCAATATTTATTTGTCATCAGGGTTTAATCATTGTCATCATTGCCATTTTCAAAATCTGGGTTTCTGATTTAGTTTCCTCCGTTGTCTAAGTTTGAGTTTAGAGCTCTATAAATGAAATGTGTTGTTGTTTTTAGTACACGTCTGGGAGCAGTAGCAATGATTTGTTTGTGATAAATGGACGAGGAGCTCTCTGCACCAAAGAAGTCGCTAAAATAAGAAAAATAAAACACTTTAGATAAACTTGGCTGAAAGGGCTGCGAACATTTAAGCTGTGCTCTCATTAGAGGTTCTCTGCATTATTCATTCGGTGCTGTGCCCTCTCCGGACTGACTTTGTTCTTTATTGACTTCCTGCTCCCGTGGCGTTCCAGATGCGGCGTCTCATCACCCGCGGCGAGTGGCAGTCGGAGCAACAGGACACGCTGAAGACCGGCTCGTCGACAAACAACAACGACGAGGAGAAATCCAGGCAGCTGGAGCGAGAGAACAGGGAGCTGCAGAAGATCATCCAGGAGGTGAAGACATTACACACACACTTATCATTTTATTATTATTCATAATCTGCATCCACACGTTTCCATATCTTTAACATTTTGTCCTGGAGACGGACGCCTTGTAATATTCAATGTACAGGATGTGAAGTAGTTCTTTCTTGAAATACAGCGATCGTGTTTTCAGTGGATGAGAGAAACCCGACCGTTCCCACAACGAGCTTTTAATAAATCATCAAAATGCATTTTAATGCTGACTCATTGATTAATTGACGGCGTGTGACCTTCTTTGCACTGTTGAGTATTTTACATTCAGAGCAGGATTGTCTAGTAGTAATATTGACGCATCACGTGAGGAACGTGCTGATACTCATCGTAATCATTAAGTTCAAGACTCCGTCTGTAGTCGACTTCACGAAGCTGGAAGCTGAACGGACGACGTGAGGATTTATCTATCGTGGAATCGTACTGAAGTCCAGGAATTCATGGAACCACATTCATTCATTCATTTCATTCTGATTCAAGATTTCAAAGCAGCGTGTTTTAAAATAAACAACACTTTTTATATTTACAGTTATATTTACTCCTTATTGCTGCTTTTTATATTTTACTTCCTTATCTGTTTGATATAAAAGCTTCTATAGTACTTAAACATTAATTGAGCATTAATCAAAACCTTTAAGTGAATTTCTACACGTGTGAAAATCTGCTTCCAACTAAATTAGGTGCATTCTGTAAAATTTTTGAATTACTTCTTATAAACGTGAAGTGGGGGTGGAAGAGTTCGGTGTTTCAGTAACCAGATATAGAAATCGAAAGTACCACCGGATTTACATATTCCATATATTACCCAACAGTCCCTTGATGAAACCACATTTAAATTCCCCCTTAGATCCAGATTTGGATCTTCACCAATTTGAATCCCACACACGCAAAAATATCATTCCCCTAAAGGTCACCGATTTATTTACTGATCGAGATCTCAGATAAAATCGGGGGAAATATTGAAACAGGCTTCGAGCTCGAGGTTAAAAAAAAAGAATGTGACCATTTTTAAAAAACAGTGAAAAACTATTTTCACACTGTTTGTAAGTTTCCATATGAGAAGAATGCTTCTGCTGCTTCTGATCCCTGGTGCAAACATACAAGTAGTATACAATTACACAACATATCAAGTACTTGAAAACATAGTACACAGTCAAAACATTGAGGTTTCGTATCTGAATCCTGTTTGATAAAGAGAAGTTAAAGTCGCTCTTCGTTGTGTTTTCAGAAAGAGGAGCGGGTCTCGGCGCTCCGCAACCAGCTGGCTGAGCGACAGGCTCTCCGCAACCGCCGCCGACCGTCCACGGGCCAGAACCAGAACCACAACGCTCCGCCACCCTCCTCCCAGCCGGACCCCAAGTCCCTGCTTCCCCCGCCCGGCTACCCCAACCCCACCACGGACAATCACTCGCTCCCGCCCTCCTTCTCCAACTCGTCCAACCTCTACCCGGCGGACAGCAAGATGAGCCGCAACCACTGTCACAACAGCCAGATCCCGCTGCTGTACAAGTAGGCGAGGCACGGGGTGGAGGGGGGTGAGGGGGTGAGGGGGTGAGGGTAGTGACACAGTGCACACAGGGGACACAAAACACATGGAGACACTGTGACCATCACATGTTTTGTTGACGTGAGCACGGCGGTGCGGGGACACAGGGGCGCTTCACACCCGGCTGCCTCGGGGGGGAGGGAGGGGAGGGGAGGGGAGGGTGGGGTCACACAGGTAACACCCGTCCTCACGCTTTTCATCTCACCGTGTTCAACTCAGCAACGAGGCACTCGTGACGGGTCGACGCGGCGGCGGCGGCGGCGAGCACACGTCCCGGCCCGCAGCGCTCGAGGTCCTTCGCAGAGGTGGCGTGAACGGATGGATCTCCTCGAGGAGATCTCTGGAGGATCTGATAAAAGGAAACATTTGTGTTTGTGTCTTTGCGATATCGTCTCCATCGTTTGTCTTTTCAAGTTTGTGGACTAGAGAAGCACACGCAGTAGTGGTTTATATATCGTTCCGTAATACCTGATGCGTTTTTTTTCGTCACGGAGTCGTCGTTCCAATGATTTGTTTACTTTTTCCCGGATGAGTTGTGCAAACTGAGATTCACAAAAGGGACGAAGCAATGTACAGTTTTACTTTCTCCGATGTTTCCTCCGAACGACGGCTGAGCTCGACTGTGACCAGTGATGATGTGGATTATTAAACAGCCATAACTTAGAAGGGCCAAGGAGCTCAGCATGTTTAGATGTTTGTTGTCTGGACGGTGTGTTCGAGTACAGCGTCGCATCTCAAACACTGAGTCCTCTGCTGATGTTTGAATGTCAGAGGAGAAAATGATCCGAGCTCGCTGATGGATAAGAACAATTTTGATAGTTTTGCCAATTGGAAATAATGTTTGTATTTTTCGAGGTTTGTGTCGTATCTCCTTAGCGGTGAAGCACCGTCGTAGTCATCCAATAACTCCATCGTAGACTAGAGCAGATAAACATCTCCCGGCCTCAGCTGCAGCCGCAGTCGCTGCAGCTGATCGTTATCTTTCGGTGGTAAAAACTGAGATAACTGAAAAAAAAATAAAAATACAAATCTACCAAACCCAGCTCGGCAGAAAGACAGTTTCTACTTCTTCTGCCTCCAGAGAAGAAAAGAGGCTTCTACGATGGCTGTTTCTGAACAGATTCAGAGAAAGCACAGATTTTATACATGTGAAGTTTTTTATTTAAACAAAGAAAAGAAAAGGATGTGGTTTTATGTTTTCCCTTAACGGACAATCTGGACGGATGCTCTTTTATTTTCTACTTTTGGTTTCTCATCTTGCCTCTGAACTGTACGTGTGTCAAAGTGGGATATAAGTGACGTGACGCACTGTGTTTATTCAGCAGTTAATCCCGATATTCTATATTTCATTCATGAGCTATTTCCAGATTTTTAAAGCAATGGTACCTGAACAGCTTCAGTTCAAACAACACTTTGTGGAAGGATTTTAAAATATACAGTATATACTTCAGTGTGCACTTTAAGCAAAAACAAGCTACTCACGCTGTCAATGGAAAACATTGCAGCTTGGGGTATTCGGAGCGGGACAGTCATCACTGAACGAAATGGGGCGTATTTATTAACTGTGCAGTTCATGGATCACATAGTGTAACATATGAATGCAGAGATAAACTAGGAAATGTTCTATTATATTGCACATATATGAAAATATACTTGGATTTTGGGATATTTGTATTCACTATATCTAAGATCTTAAATGTTAATATATTTCAGAGTATGTGTATGCAAATATATGGATAGAGTAAATAAAGTAATTGTTTTGTTTTTTTTTCCAAATGGTATTTTTTGCTTTTTCAACAGCGGGAAAAAAAAAGTAGATCGAGGAAAAGAAATAGAAGGTCGCTCAGAGAACAGGCCTCCACGGACGCTGACGCCCGATCTCGCCGTGAGATGCACCTGTTCTTCCAGATGTGCTGCAAAAATTGAACGTGTGCTTTCTCGGGTCTTCCCCCCGCCACGCCACAACATTTAATATCAAGCAAACAGAAGACGATGAAAACACTAGAATGTCACCACGCCACCACGTCCCCTTCAATTAAAACAAGCTGCACCAAATCTGCAAATTCCAAATTTCAGTGCGGACACATTTAGGGAAGTTATATCAACGATGATATATCAACGATGATATGACTTCCCTAAATGTGTCTGAGTTCAGAGATTAATTCTCTGAGAAATGTAAAAAAAACTAAACATCCTATCCCGAGCAGTTAGTCCAGATCCACACCAAAATTTCCGGATTTCCTTTCTGACCCGTGTCCCTTTCTTCCACCAAGTTTCACTTCACGTTACGTAATCCTGCCGTCAAACAAATAGACAAAGAGGAGAACACACACCTCTGCTGGGTAACGCCCGATCTCGCCATGTAACAGAAACGGAAAGTAAATTCCAGGATCCACCCATTTATCCGGATCTTCTGCAAAAGTCGAATGTGTAATCTCTTGGCTCGTGCAAACAAACTGCAATGAAAATACCAGAGTGTCGCTCGGTAGCGCCCGTAGCTCCGCCGAGGCCCAACAGCCCCGTAGTTGCAGCAGACTCAGAGTTATCAGTCTCATGCACGGGTCCGGTTCTTTGGGAGATTGGTGAAAACGTCTGAAAACACCGCGTTTCAACACCGGATGTTCTCCTCTGTCGAGTTCAGGCTAAAAACATGAAGTCGTTTTGAGCCGAGTTTGAATGTCGGGGCTGACGGACACTTGTGTGACACCAGAGGAGCAGCATGGAGGCCTGTCATGTCCCCCCCCCCCCCAGCTTCCTAATTATCACAACTAAAGTCTCAACATCCTGTGGCTTGGTTTTTTTTTTGAATACATCCTCCACTAGATGTCACCAGTTAATGTTACTCCTGTTGACCTTCATGCAGTTTTAACTTTTTGATACATATTTATCGCCGGAGCTCGATCATTGTCACCAGTTCGAGCCGTGGGAAGAAGTGGGAAGTCGTTTGCGACACGACATCCAGCTGCTGAGGCCGGTGGGAACCTCGTTACACAGACAATGAGTGGAAGTTTGTAGATGGATGAAACAAAAGTTGACTAATTGCTCCAGAGTCAATGTGATATTTTGGATGATGACAATGTCACAAAACCAGCTGTGGTGCAGTCCCATGACCCCACAACACAGACACACACACAGACCGACACACACACAGACAGACACACACACAGACACAGACACACACAGACAGACACACACACACACACACACACAGACACACACACTGGACCTGGTCTATTATTTGGCAAAGTCATTATGAAATTCCTCCACAGCAGCAAATACTTCCTTTGTTGGATCAGACAAGACAAGGGGAATTTCCTACTTTTTTTTTTGGGTGAGTCTTGCAGAGCGCTGCGTCAGGTGGAGGCCCACAGAAGCCTCAGCCCAGAGCGGGTTTTCCCCACCAACACCCCCACCCCACCCTTGCACAATCACACACTCACACACACTCACACACACACACTCACACTCATATGCACCCTGCAACCTCCTCCCTCCTCTGCACCGCCAACCACTTTCCCTGTGTTACCACATACTTCATCTTCAGTCGGCTGGAAAGAGACATGACATGGGAGTGTGTGTGTGTGTGCTAGTGTGTGTGTGTGCTAGTGTGTGCGTGTGTGTGTTTGTGTGTGTGTGAGCTTTTTGCCAACTGAGCCGCAACTTATTTTCTTCGGTATTTGAGCTATGAAATTAGTTCACATTCAATGTAGTGACACAAAAGTATTTTTTAACAAATTTAATTAAACAAAAAACATATAAATATAATAGTTACCACCTCACCCCACCATTTTAAATATAAATAAATATAAATAAATACATATTAGATATTATTGTCAGGTACTTAACCCTCATAATCCTTGAACCCTAACTCTGCAGTGACGCTGCTGTGTCATCATCTGCTCCAGCACAGGAACTCCGGGCTACTACAATCTCAGGTCAACATAAATAACTTAGAAATAAGGTTTCAAACTGTTACAGTTCATAGGGATTTAAGTTTTGTCTCAATTGAGATTTCAACATTTCACCATGAAGATGAATAGTAATAAATTAGATCTGGTTTAAAGTCTCAAAGTGCAAAGACACCGAAGAAAGTCTTGCCGCTCTCTGTCTCCAGCTCCGAGAGCATGTTGGTCTCCGTCCACAGCTTGTCCCCTTCGTTCAGCTGGAACACTGCGCCCAGGTAGATGGCATTGTACCAGCCCTGTCCGTCTCTGTAGGCGTCCTCCTGACTCTTCTGGCACGCCGACCTCACCGCGCTCATCAGGGACACTTGGGTGCCCAGGGACTCCGTGAAGAGCCATACCCTGTGGCTGATGGACGTGAGGTGTTTTTCCGCTGCCTCCTTGCCGTCGTCGGCATCGTCGCTGCTGCAGGAGACTCTGAATGACGCCTGGCTGTAGACGAAGTAGAGGCCGCTTCGTGGGATGATGATGTGGTTGTCCACCAGTTCGAAGCCGCCCTGAGTGAATGCTAGGCCTTCGTCGTTCTTCCACACCAGCTTGTTTTCGGAAGTCTCCTCGTCTTCCTCGTCTCTACCTGGAAAGAGAAGAAGAGGTGTCTGAGTTCTGAGTTCTTCTCTCCCGGGGGTTTAAAGCGAAAAATTAAGTGGTAGTGCAACAACTTCCTCATCCGTGCCCCGGGCTAACACACTTCTAGGAGGAAGCAACAAATATCACACAAGTGGAAGACAAGAGGCTGAAAGGCTCTTTTGAAAGCCGAGAAACTGAGCCCATTGTTTGCTGAGAACCAAGTCAAGGTGACTCACCTTCTAAATGGATGGCCGCCTTGGCTCTGCTGCTGATTTGCCTCAGTGTGTTGTGGGGTTCTGATGAGAGGAGGACACTAGTGAGTTTGTGTCAAGAATCCCACACAAGACTTAAATGAATACCCGGAGATGGTTTTTAAACAAGCAGCCGTGCATGTAATCACCTGTTTTCTCAGCGGAGTCCTTCTGGCTCAGGGCCGCTGTTTGGCCTGATTGCGTCTGCAAGGAGGGCAAACTGATCAGAGGTGCAAACTCAGACATTCAACTTTGCTGGAGTTTTTAAATATTTCTTATCACATTCAGAAAGAGTGCTTCTCCTTACCATCATCTCAGATTTGTTCGTGTACCAAGAAAACGCCAGGACGCCTCCTAAACAAAGGGCCACGATGAAAAGGCCCCCCAGCACCTTACACATCCAGTCGGTGGACGACTTCTTCTCCACCAGAACCACCCTGCTCTCCTCCAGACCCGACTCCACGTCACCTGGTGCACTTGTGTATTTCACCATGCTCACAGTCAACTGCCTTGAAAATGTAAAAAGTCAACACTTGGCTGGGTGCTTTGTCTCCAGGTGCCTGCTGAGCTGCAGCTGTGTGGTGATGCTATTGCTGTTCTGTCAGAGTGAACCGGAGCTTGTAGTATTTATGCTGCGGCAGCCGCTTCAGCAGAAGGGAAACTCCAGTGATGTCACAGGGTAAGTGGAGTCAGCAGCAGCAGCAGTGAGCTGGGGAGAAACGAGCCGGGAGGGAAAGAGAAGTCACAAAAATTTTCAAGAGTGGAACAGGTTTCAGAATGGGAAAGTGGTTAATTGATACTTTTGGTTTAAAAAAGCAACACACACACACACACACACACACACACACACACACACAAACACACACACACACACACACACACACACACACAGGTGGTTAATGTATTTATACCACACAAATATCTGTACTCCACAACATTTAAATATATATATATATATATATATATATAAAGTCCTTACTTTCTTTTACTGGAGCAGAAAAGTTAATCTGGTATTTTAATTTACGTAAAATGTTTGACTTCTTCCTTCACTGACACAAACGCACACACTTGACATACATCTCGATTACCCAACCCCCGAACATCTGCACCTAACCTTGAAACATTTCCTCTCAACATGTTGTGTTGCACACTTGTTTTGTGTCCCTATAAGGAAGTCAAGTGTCCATTATGTGACTTTGAAAACTGGTTCAGGTCCCCACAACATGAATAATACCTGGACCACACACACGCACACGCACACACACACACGCAATGAGTTCATCACAGAGCCAGCCACAGAATGTGAGCTGCTGAGGTTTACTCTCGAATCTAAAGCTCCCCAACATTCTGAGGTCACTTCTGACCAGATGTTGAAAAGCCACAAAAATGTGAAATCGTGGAAACTGTCCAACCTGTTCACCGGCTATTTTAATCCCATCCCCCACCCCCACCCCCACCCAACGACAATGACACTGTAATTTTGCTAATGTGATGCTAGAAATTTCACCCATTACATCATTAGTCCTGTTTTACTATTTGTCATTCGTCGTTTATTTGTGTAGCGACCGTCTCACAGGAACAAACACTGATTATAAAAAATGATCTTCGCGTGTTATCAACACACACACGCTTAAAGTGCCGCCGCTCTTTTAATCTACTTCATCCCGTCTTTATCATTTACATGGCAGGCAGAGCTCAGTGGCCAGATATACGAAGTAATATAAATAAATATATTTCACGCAGTAAAAACTTGGAGAGAATACAATTTACATTTTTCAAATCTCAGTCTGAAAAATGAAAAGTTTAAACTTTTCAATGCCCCTTTTTCTGTTTCAGAACGGTCGAAACCCGAGAAACCTGTTCTCTGCACTCGTCTCTGCCTCAGTTTCCTCTTTTCACTTTCTCTCTTGACCTCGTGCGTTAGAGACCCGCACGCTCGGGCTTTTCATCACACATGCCCTGAAACGTCCTCCCAGTTCTGTTTTCATGTTGATAAAGAGAGCTCGCCGGTCTCCTTCTAATTGACTTTCACTTTTCACCGATTTCTCTTTTGAACTGTCGGGGGGGAAAGGTGCTTCTGAAAAATCAATGAAAAATGTTTTAACCATAGACTGTATGTAAAGAGGTTTTAACTAATGTCGTGTGAAACAATGTTTTCTGCCTGTTTTACGTCTCGTTCCTTTTCGGGGTCATTGCTTTTGTCTTCTTGATCATTTTTCATCTCTTCGTGGTCATAGTTTGTGTCTTATGGTCATAGTTTGTGTCCCTTGGGGACATTTGTGTCCCTTTGCCGTTATTTTGTTCCATTTTTGTGATCATTGTCTTTCTCTTAGTGATAGTTTTTCATCTTTCTGGTCTTTTTTCATCCCTGAGTGATTCTTCACTGCCTCTTTCAGGTCGTTTCTTTGTCGTATTCTGTGTCTTTATGTTTTTTTTTTTTCTTTTATTCTTTCTGGTCATCTTCTGCGTTATCTTGGTTCTATTGCAGTTTTAAGCAGATATGTCGTGTGTGAGGTGAAATCACACCTCTGGGTCTGGCGTGCAGTTTGTTCCAGGATGCAAATACAAACCAACCACAAGATGTTGCAGGATGACTTCACTGTCAATGCACCCACATGACACACAAACAAACAAATATACACATTGCTTCTGTACAGTTCCTCCTGCTCACCCACCTCCTCTTGATTATTCATATGACGATTCATCAAACTGACTTTTGCTTGTCACGTCCGGTGTTTCAACAGGAAGCTCATATATGGGCCACGCTCCCAATTGTAATATTTCACCTTTTGCTTTGCCATAGATTTTATATTAATCAGTCAATTACATCTTTTACGTTGGTAATTGTGTGTTTTATCAAATTCTTTTGCAAATGAATTACACTTATAATAAAAAGACAAAGTTGCTTTACAAGTTAAAAATCAATCATTTAATGAAATTCTACTTGTATAGCCCGTGTTCACAAATCACAATTTACCACACAGGGCTTGACAATCGGCACAAGGTGACACATCCTTCGACCTTAACCCTCGAGCAGGGTGAGGACAAACACGCGAGAGATGCCGTGTGCAACAGAGCGCATCAACAACATAACACTGAAATATCATTCATGAGAAAAGACCGTGTCGAACATCGAGATGACAAATCGAAGGTTGAACAATAGGAAACAGATGAGAAAAGATTAAAAACTAAATAAAATAAGAAAGAGTGAAATAGTAAGATCCCAGTTAGATTAATAATTAATAAAGTACTTAAAAATAAAAAGTTGAAGGTGACTTCTGACCCCCAAGGAGATTTGGCTGCATGGATCTCCTCGAGTATTCGACCCTCAGGACCTCAGTGTGTCCTCACCTGGTTATTTTTAATCATATCAAACGGCCATCTCTCTAATCGTGACCATATTCTGGAGAGTTTTTTTTTTTTTAACTTGTACAAACATGAAGTTCCCAAAGACGGGATGTTATTTAAAGAACAGATCTGTGTCACTGTAAAATCTGCTGGCTGCAAAACAGTGATAACTCAGAACTGGTGTAAAAACAACTTTAATGAGTTATTTTTACGGAAAATCTGAGAAAATGATATGATGCTGTTGTATCTGGATCAATCCCGGGACAATATGGACGCTGTCATTCTTTTGTGAACGGCTCTAGAATAGTTATAAATAAATGGTGACACCTGAGTCTCTGTAAAATCTGCTGAACCTTGCCAAGCTGTGTTTTCCGAGTCAGGTCGTCACATGTGATATGTAACTCACAAACTCCCACTGGATTCCTCCAGGAGACAAACGGCTCTTTTCATGAAGTGGGGGAAACCGAACCTCAGTTTCAGCATTCGTTTCTTCGTGGCCTTTTCCGTTCCCCGTGTGCTTGAAGCTTTATCAGCCCTGCTCTAATCGCATGATGACATATTCCCCTCATGCAACTCCCCCTGCAATGAAATCTATTGTTCCTCAGCTGAAATGTTTTTTTTTGTTTTTTTTTTGCACACAGATTGCATCATTGAATCCCAGGATTGTGTGGTCATCACGCAGCGGCGCTCTGCCACACTGCTGAAAAAGATCACCTCGGGGCGGGAAGGAAAGGATGGGAGGAAGGAGGGTGGGGTGGGGGGGGTGAGCGAGGACGGAGGAAACGGAGGAAGGAAGCTATCGTAGGCGAAGGAGATGTCCTGTTGAGCCGAAGAGCTCTGCTTTCAGATTGTGACACAATCACAGGTGTAGGTTTGTGAAGAGAGAAAAAAGAATCCACATCAGAGAGTTTTGGTTTGATTCTCATCATCTGCTCTTCAGTGATACATGTGTGAGGGAACGAACTAGGCCAGAATGAGGTTTCACCACAACTGCTTCCGCTGCGTTAAGACTTGAGGAGGCTGGCGGCCTACAAGCCTCCACCACGTCTCCGGTGCGTTACACTTTATCCACTGCAGGTGTTTCACCTTCTCTTTCCTATTTGAATTGATTTTGAAACCATTAGGTTGGTTTTCCTTTTTTTTTTTTTTTATGATACCGGGTTTTTTATTTTACCACGTTTACAGCATCAAGAAATCAATTTTACTAAGTGATAACAAATACATTTGTTGGATGGAGCAGGAGAAAAAGCCTCAGAGAATAAATATAATAAGTTAGAGGAGGTTAGAAAGTTATGTGTGTGTGTGCGTGTGTTAACTTACTGAATGTTGCCTGCGAGGCTAATTTGAACTTCCACATCACTTGTTAAATTTCGACGGCAGAATGTGAACAAATCCAGATTCAAACTGTGTCTGAGTAAATAGGTTCTTGAGAGCAGAATTATTATATTATTAAAGAACGGACACGACAGCTTTTGTGAGACGTCCAAAAACCAGACGACAGTCATTTAAAATTTAAAGACGTTCATTTTGAATTAAAAGACACAAAGCAACATTAACATTTATTTGGTTGGATGCTTCAGGACATCTGACAAAAGTCCAATAGTCTCTTGTCTTCTGGGGAAACACTGAATAAATGTGAACTATATTTCACTTTCACTTTTGGCTGTTGGTACTTTTAATATTCCGTTATGCCTCTGAAATGTGTGTCAGTTTAATTTAAAAATCTTTTTTGTTGGATGTTGTTCAGAAAAACCATCTTTGCTTTAAGTAAAAGTTTGAAAATAATAAAATAAACACTTGTCTCACTCTCCCTCACCTTGTCTTTGCCACCATGATACACAAAACCTTTCACACACTGACACGTGTTTGACCTGCGGGACTCTGATTGAGTTTCGAATCCAGGAGAAGCGTTGAGTCCGTGATTGGTCCTTTCGGCACAGTTACAGGTGACCGAGGCAGCTCTGGCTGCTGATTGGTGGACCGTGGCTAATGAATCTGTGGCTCGTGTTTTCTTGGAGAGAAAGAAAAGAAGTTGCTGAATGGATTTTATCTACAAGATCACAGGAAGTTGTTGCTTTGGCAACTCGCCACGTTGCTATAACAACGAGCTGGAAGACGAGGGGCCGGTGAGGCGGCGGAGGTCACGGAGGTCAGTTCCTGTCAAACCCAAACAAAGCTGCTGCAAGATGTCGTGAGAACAGCAACACACATTTATAGGCTCAGCGTGATTCACACTTTCCTAAGACACGATTGCATCTGATGTCCGACGTTGAGTAAAGGTCAGTAAGATTAGAAGAGATGATTCAATTGAGATGACGATAAAAAACCTTAACTGTTAATTATCACGTTTTTGAAGTTTTCAAAGTAGTTCACTGATATTTGTGTGTACATGCTGTGGTGTAACGAAAATATATTATACTTGTTTTATTTGTACTTGTCATAAATACAGGATGTCATTCATCATAGCAAACAACACAACGCAGTGACTCCATGGCAACAGTTTACTTCCTGTTTCCTGTCACAATTTCTTAATCTGTTCCATTTTAAAGAGTTTTATTTTTCAGATTAATTAGTGGGTTCTTTAGCTTTGACTCGTAACAATCCGTTTGATTACAGCTAGTTCAGCCACTACTCTGTCATTGCTCCTGGATGAAAGACTTGAAAATCAGTTTTTAAAATATAATGTAAGATTTATCTTCAGACGTTTATTTCATCATAGGGCCTGATCATATATTTCTCAAGATTTTGAGTTTGTCATATTTCATCAGAAGTGACATCTATTTAAAACCTCTTGTTATATTCAGTTCCTGATAAAAAAAATGTTTCTCAAATGAAAATGTTTAAAAAAAAAAATGGTATCGGTTCTGGCAGTTTTTGCTTGAAGAGGAAGTCTCTGTAAACACAACTGCGCTGCAGAAAGTTTAATGGAAATTACTTCACAGGTGTTTTCACGAAAAACTAGAAGTTTTACTTGGAATATTGAAAATTCAGGATATTTTTACCCTCGGCCACAGATCGCAGCGGCCCATCAACACGTCTGAGAAACGGAAGAGAGGTGAGTAGATGTGTGATAAAGGAATTATCAGTCGTTTCTGAAGTAAGTTATTTATCACAGCTTCTTGCAGAACATGTTGTTTTGATTAACACAATCATTTCTAACCTGTACTCAGATTGCACAGGAGTCTGTTGTATTTATAGAATTCACTCTGAAGTTCCATCTTGTAACTTCCTGATTCCGTCATCGTCATATTCCCTTTGTCATGATTCACAGTCACATTATTCATCAGTGATTTAAATTACTGACCAGAGTTTAACTTCAATGCAAAGCAGCAGAGACACGATGCAGCGCAGGAAACCATCGTTCAGGTTGTTCAGACCTGCTGCGACTGCAGAGTTTGCTCTGGTTACTCTTTTTAGAGACGTAGTGCAAAAAAAAAAAAAACCCAAAAAAACTTGCTTCGTCGGTTTCACATCTATATTTGGTCTTTTTTGCAGAAGTCAAGAGTTCTTTGCTTGAGGACAACAATATTTCCCAAAGGGACACTGACAGTATTGTTTTCAGATTTTCCCATTTGCTGGTTATTCAAATGTCAGATTCCAGCCGGAGGTCACTTCTCTAATCTGTAGGTCATCGATTCCTGCATTTCATCAATACCTGTGCGTCAGTTCCACTTGTGGCCCCGCGTTGTTGCAGCAAAGCGACAACACAGTTTGTTGGTTTTGTGTTTTCAATGACAATGACTGAAATCAGTGAAATCAAACTCAAGATAAACAGTCGGAATAATTTGCTCTCAGACCGTTCACATGATTCGGCATCAGCACCTGCATGTGACAATTCAAAAAATCATAAATTTACACAGAAAAACACAGTGGATTATGGGAAGTACGTCCCTTCAACATGACTTGAGGTCAGGGGACTGGTCATCACTGTAAAGACAGAGGAAGTGATAATTAAAGTATTCCCCCTCTTACATTACATTTCATTACATATAATTAAAAGAGCTTTTTCTTTTATTTTCAGTTAATGGCGGTGCATGAAACAGGAAGTGTGAGTGACACATGACCTGAATTAATTAATTATAAATTGTGTGACTTGGAATTTTTTTCAAATCTTTTGTGGGAGCATGTGACTCGGTTGTTTTA